TACAAATTTGTGTACATCAGAAAATGCGCCTTGAGGCATGGAACATATGTACCAAATATGTCAAAGATGTCTACAAAATTATCTCAGTTATTATTAAAAAACTGATTATTTTTGAAAACTTTGCCACCCTGTATCTCAAAAGTTAAGGCGTTTAGGACATACGTCCATAGGAAGTTTTTTTCTTAAAATGGGTCTAAGAATTACCTCCTTAAATATTAGCATGTGTTTAAGGAACACCCTGTATATTATAAGTACACCCGTTATTGATGAAACTACCTTGTAGTTGAAACACATGATGAAAATCATATAATTTTACCACTATAAATCTTATTCAAGACGCTTTCCACTACAGGGTAGTTCAGTTCAGTAAAACGCATCTTGAATAAAACTTATAGTGCGAAAATTGTAAAATTAATATCGTGGATGAATCAATTTTATTCAGTTTATGAACTTTGTAGTTTATTGGAAACAAAAAAGTTGAATTGATTTTCATCAGTCCGGACTTCCATTGTCTAAAATGATATCCCTGAAAGAACAAATAAAATTGAAAATTAAAATGAATAGCTGAAAATAATAATTATATCAAGCAAAAAAAGCTCTGAAATTGAATTACAATAATATAAAAATTAGGCAAGAAATTGAACAATCAAAATGAACTGAAAATTAAAAAATTCCCTCACGACGTTTCGATTGTTAGTATCCGCAATCTTTTTAAAATCTGTTGGAATCTGTTTAGAATCTGTTTTTCCGTTAATCAGCTGTCGCCCCCATACGATCGACAACTCTCAGAAGTTGAGAAACTTGTGCAAGCCAAGGACTAACGAGGTCTTACTTTTCAACGTGTGATTCCTAACATGGTTGCAGAATCATACCAGCTTCAACCAGATAAATTCTCTCGAGAAAAATATCTGGTCGAGGCAGGAATCGAACCCACGGTCTTCCGATAGTGNGAAAAGTAGCGGATTTTCATCACACCAGAAGCGACATACCCTTTGAAAATAAGGCACACATATCAGTAAAGCGAATTGTGTGAAAAATATTTTGATTTCCATTCACGAAATCCATCATTGTTAAACAAAATTCCATTCTTCTGTCGAAATCATCGTCATAAAGCTATTGAAGAATTTTGTAGAGTTGATATTCATTTGATTTCAGTTCTTTTCTTACTGCTTAATGGGAAATTCATACTCGGCATGCCACAATGCAAAGTGATACGGGGGGTTCAGCAGTAAAGTGCCTGAAACTTCTATTTGCACTACTTCATACAAAACACGACGATTTTTTTGTTAGCAACGGAACCAGATTCGTTAAACTCAGCACCTAATTCCAGGACATATTTATGTTTCAAATTATTGTTGGAATATCTTTCATTGAACATTTTTGCCGTTCATTTTGCACATCTTTGACCTTTCCCATAAGAATAATTTCAGTTTTTTGTTGAAAATAATTATTAATAAACACAATACCTCTAATTCACGAAACCATTTTTTCATTGACGTTAATTTGGTAATCAAAAATCGCACATATTTCTTGACGAGCAAAATTTTGTAATGATTGCAAGTATTTTAAATGAATGTCAAGCTGGAAAAATTCAATCCATCATGAATAATCTGAAAAGGGAATCAGAAAAATTTGGAACATACGTTGATGTTTTTTTTTCTATGATTGTATGTCTTCAACAACTGGTTTTCGAAAAATTAAATGTGCCAAAATGAATTAATTTTTATTATGAAGTACCTCACATATGTGCCTTTCCTTTCAGTCGAAGTATCAAACTATCTGAGGACATATTAACAAATACCTAAATAATCACTTTTGACTGAAGCTCTTCAGCCAGAAATAATTATCTGATCTGACTTTCCTTTATTTTCCAGATTCAAACGATTCGATAACGCTTTTATTCGCCCCTACCTCGTTAGGAATCATCAGGGAGCGGAACAAAAGATCCTTGAAACCTACTCGAAGCTAGCTATGCGAGACGCCATGGAATACATGCGCAGAAATGCATCAACCATTGGTAACATTTCCGGAACGGAGAGCATGTCCGCCATATTCAAAAATTACACTGGAGGAAATCTTAACGGCAGGTGCGATCCAACATTAGATATATTTAAAAAAACTGATAGATTCTTTTTACGTATTAGAAGATGAATGAGGAACTAGACAATCAAAACAAATCTACATTTGATTGTTATTTGATTGTTAATCAAAAGTATTTGTAACAAAATTCGTTCTAAAACGTATGAAAAATGCCCAATCTACGATAAGTGTTCGTAGTCCAATTAATATGAGTATTAATGGGACTTATGGCTTTGTTCAGATCCAAGTCAACACTTGGAATATATAACCACTTGAAACTGAAGTTACATGGCTCGACAACGAGGTCGTAATCTACCTGACCCCAAAGTTTTGTCACTGTCTTTTTTCTTGCCTTTTTCAGTTCCTGGTGAACACTGATAACCTTGTTGTTCGAGTCCAGTATTTATGCTCCTGGACACGTACAGAATAGAGGTATTGCAACAGTACCCCAGAACTTACATCGGCCAGACCAATAGAAGAATTTTAAACAGAGCCTGTGAACAGATTCAGCCAGCTCTCTTCAAACATCATTTCGGCTACACAATGAGCTTAAAATACACCAAAACCATTGATACGGATAAAACTTATCAGGCCAGGATAATTCGGTACGGCCGCTTGATTGAGAAAAATTGTCAAAAACAAATAAACTGATTCAACATCAGGGGAAAAACTGCGGAATCGTGTCATTGTCGGAAGGCATTGTGATTACAAAAAATTTTCCCAACCTAGTCACGGGTGCAGCTATAGCGTGACATTCGAGTCCAAGATAAATCAAACAAAAATGATGGGTATTAAGTATAATGATATTATCAATAAAAAAAAAATTTTGGACAAGCACTCATGGAGAAGTGGGCAAACCGCCACAGACACGTGTTTCTGGCTACTTAGCATTCGTCAGTACGATACAGCGAATTGCAAAGGATAGACAACACTTGGTTACGAAAAAGGGTCAAAAACAATCGAAAGGATTCACTATCAGGTGCTAATTGCGGATTCATGTTATCATCGGAAGACCTTGTGATTACAAGGAATTCTCCCAACTTAGTTACGGATACAGCTATAGCAACCTGCGTGACATACGGTCTCCAATACTAAACCATGCCCGAAATAGTTGCTATACCTGATTTCATTCGAAGACTCAATTTGAGAGATCAGATGATAACTTATCTTTTGAAAACACTTCTGAAGCATCATCAGAAGTCTTCTCCTGGTTTGCGAAACGCGCGTCATAGGTTTGGTTAGGTTAGGTCCAAACTGAATAGGTCTATCGATTCTCCACCGTAACCCGCAAGGGTTTATTGTGGCTTACACCTATTCACACTCGACCAAATAAACCCAGCTTCTTAACGAATCCGATTAGTTTGTATGGTGAGTGGTCTTTCAGGTCGGATGATAAGAGTACGGCTCTGCCGAACTCTAAAAACCTGATTCAGTCTCCAGCAGAGCAGGCTCTGCTATTTCATCATTTTCCAAACAGAGGCGACCTACACTGTCTTCCGACTCTCTGCATATGATGATTCAGATGACAGTGACCTGTAAGAAGACCTGTTAGACGTCATAACTGCATTTTTGTTCGGGTTGAGGAGTAGTGTTTTCAATAGATTTACTTCATGCCAGAGGTTCCAACTTCTATTCATCAAAATAATAACGTTATTTTTAAGACCTGAAATTTTGAAATCATCTGGAACCTGCAATGTTATCAAAAATTCCTGGGCGATAGTCCGATCCATAATTTATTATTCTCTAATCTATTCGAATTCTCAACACATAACATTAGTTTGTAACAACGGTTACAAAATACAATCATAAAATGTATATATAAGCTGAATCAGAGAGAAAAGATCAGGAATCTGGATGAACCCAGAAAATTATTTGATATTAGGGGAATATACCAATTCAAAATATGCATGTTCATTCATAATTTTCAGAATATTAGTGACGTTCTATCCCAACACCATGTTAATAAATATTGTTTTTGATATTTTCAGTATATGTTACATTGTCGCTGGAAATGATAAGTGTATTATTATTATTATCTAAATCTGAAAAGAAAATATGTATATGAGGTGTGTAAAGTGAATTGAAAATGAACGCCAACCACACAAATCCTCTGAAAGTTATATAGACTTTCATTCATTGCAAGATCTATTATACTCTAAATGTGATTATTGGTCTGAAAAATCGCAAGAAAAAATCATCACACAAACCAAAGATCAAACACTGGTTGGTACTTGGATAGTGAACAGGTCATTACATGACTTTTGATAGAAATGGCTCAGTACTTACGAATAACTCTATCACTGAAATATATGTCGTTAATAAAAGAAGTAAAGGTCAAATAAAATAGAACACTTGATTATTTTCTCAGTGTGACAACGATGAGATAGTTGAAAGCTGAGTAACTTTTATATTTTTACAGCGATTGTTTCCTTCGAAGCGATAAAACTATGAGAAAATTGTACATCGATAAAACGCTTTTTCTGAACAGTGATAAAATTGACGGCAATAAAACTGACAGTCGTGAAATCAACATCTGTGTCATTAATAAAATATTTTTTTCATATCGATGCATTCAATTCAGATATTTCGGGAAATAATCTCGAGACGGTGAGAAAAGAAATATATTCAACCTCCAATATGATGTGAAGGTAGCTGTTAGAGCCACTTCCTTCAAAAGTTCTAAAGCAAATTAATCATAAACTGAATAGCAAATCTTATTTGTATATCAGAATATCAAACAGTGTAGGAAAAATGTAACTAAATATGGATTGGAAGTTTCTGAACTATCAACTTTTCGATGCGAGTTCAGGAAAGCAGAACAAATAAATATATTTTTGGGAAAGAAAGTTTTTGGCTTTCTTTCCCAAAAATTAATCACTCCTAAAAAATATAACCCCTTCAATTAAAATAAATATAGTTTTAAAACACTAAAAAACGCGCTTTTAAAGAACATCGAACTAAAAAGTTGAGCGCTAG